GGACAAAATGTTCACAGCACTTTAAGAGAAAGAAGCTGGCTACAGGTGGAAGCATTCCAAAACTGGATTGTGATGGCTGTGCAATTCTGTAAATGCATTAAAAAATCCTTGCATACTTAAAATGGGTGAATTTGACAGCATGTGATTTGGACTTAATATAGAGTGAGTATTTTTTTAAAAAATAATTTGGTCAAATTAGGAATACAAACAATAATAAATGTTGGAGAGGATGTGGAAAAAAAGGAACACCTTTATACTCTTGATGGGACTGTAAATTAGTATAAGCACTATGGAAATCAATATGGAGGATCCTCAAAAGACTAGGCATGGAACACCATATGACCCAGCTAGGTATACTCCTAGGTATTTATCCTAAGAAAATAAAGTCATCATACTACATATTTATAGATGAACAATTCACAATAGCCAAACTATGGAACCAACCTCAGTGTCTCTCAAGGGATGAATTGACTAAAAAAAAAAAAATGTGGTATATATACACAATGGAGTTTTATTCAGCCATAAAGAAAATATGTCATTTGCAGGAAAATGGATGGAACTTGAGAGCATTATGTTAAGTGAAATGAGCCAAACTCAGGAGGTCTAGGGTCATATGTTTTCTCTCATGTGCAGAAGCTAGAAAGGAAAAAGGAAAAGAAAGTTGCAGGGAGCAGGAAACCACATGAAAATTAAAGGGAGATCCATAWAGGCAAGGGACCAGGGGGAGACAGGATGGGAAGCAAAAGGGAAATACTGGGGAATATCAGGCCAATTATATTGTGTTTATATATGCATATGCAACAGATGCCACCACTATGTACAACTATAATGTACTAACAAAAATATGGAAAAAATAATTTGACTGTTGAATATGAATCCCATTTTTGTTTAAAACACACAAACAGGTGATACTCAGGACATATCCTCCAATAATAGTGTTAGTAGATTTGCTCTTTATGATTTTCAGAATTTCTTACAATGAGCTTTAATAATCAATGTTTATTTGGGGATGTTTATCCCCAAAGCACACCAGATAATGAATCTGTGCACAAAGCTGCCCTAACATCCTCTTCTTTTYAATATCAAACATCTGAATGGGCATCTTAGTCTTTGCTCAGATTCTTTTTAGAATTTGTCTAATCTCACTTCTTCTGTTCTGGCCTCTTATTTCACCATCTTTCCCGGAACACTGCAGTTTATCTTATCTTCAGAAAAATTTACACTCCAGATATAGCTGGAAGCAGTAGCTATCTTCAGAAAAATTTACACTCCAGATATAGCTGGAAGCAGTAGCGTTACTATCAGAACAGGGATTACTGAGGTCCCCTAAGCCCTTCCCTAAGCACTCTGCTGTAGTCCCAGTGGAAATTCCCAAGAGCCCTTTCTGCTCACATTCAGTTCCCTTCACAATCTTGGGAATTGATTATGCTAACGCCTATTCTCCAGGGCCCCTCAAAGATCTTTAAGTGAAGTCATTTTATTTCTTCCTTACACCACTACAGATGGTTCTCAAATGTTGCCTGGGGGCAGTTGGTGGTCCACAAGAATCTTTCAGGTAGTCTCCGAATTAACACTCAGATATGCACCTCTAGTTCTCTGGCTTTGGCCTGAAGTTAAAATTGAAAAGTCATTGAATAAGATCCAGATATGACCTCACTGATCCCTCATTCAGTGCAGAKCTATTCATCATCCTGGCGATTGTTCTGCAAGGGCAAGTGGGACTAGGTGGATCTGAGGATGCACAAGGGCTCTGGTTGGAAGCACTATGGGAACATCATTCCCTGAACACAGTAAGATCCAGATGCTACTTTTAGAGGAAACTGGTATGACCAACCCATACATTCAGAGTGGTCAGGCCAAGGAAGGTCTCTGAGAAAAGAACAGAGCACACATTTTATCTGAAAAACTGTCAAAGGGTAATGAATTCTTCCCCAAAGCTTTCAGGATCCGCATTAATTTGGCAACTCAAACTGCGAGCATCATCTAACAACCCCAGAGACCAAGACTGCCAAGTGTTTATTGCCAAAGTAAAAGGAGAAAATTAAAAGTCTCTGCTTAACCACAGCTGTGGTATCAGCTACATTTTTAGAACAGTGCAGTGGAAATAAGGGCTTTGCTGACATGGGCTGCAGGTTTGCCTCTGTTTCCCCAGGAAACTCAGGCCTGTGGTCATGGGTCAGTTTTCACAATTTATGTTTCAGCCTGAATTAGAAACATCATGACAAAGGAAAGAAGAGATAGACACAAAGCACATCAAGATGGTTTATTAAATGAATAGTTCAATCCATCTGGAAAACAGCTTAATCCCCCACCCCCAATCTAGTTTGTAACTCTCATTCTTTAAGTAGAAGACATGGGTGTCCACTGACAAAATGAACCTCAGAAACCCCGGATCAATTTTCTTTTAAGATAGGACCCTGTACACTGACATATTCAGTGGAAAAAACCATATCATTCCAGGGCACAGGTGTTTTTAGTTCCTAATTTTCCACTGCCTTTTGTGCAGGTGGCAGGAGGAAGCCTTCCTGAGGAATCTCAGTGATGAGGAGGGAAGGGAAGCCAAGGGCAGGCTACATTTTCACTGGGAAACAGAGGTACTGCCAAGGGGGACCAAACCTGGCTGTGCCTACCCAGAGTGGGAAGCTCAGGGTAGAGTGCCTACGAGAACATGCTCCGCCATCCTCAGGCTGGGTCCTAGCTTCCCATCAACTACTCAATGATTCAGGGTGAGCTGCTTCATTCCACTCAAACTTTAGCCTCCTCAGCTGAAAAGGTAGACACCAGCCTCACAGGACTGCTTGAGTTAAAGGAGTCAAAACACATTGGAAGGACTATGGGAACATGTGAAGCACTGTGTTTGCTCCTCCATACACATATAAATAAATTAAATAAAGGTATTGTGTCAATCTACAACTAAATCTGTACACACACACACACACACACACACACAAAATGTTGTATCTGAAAGGGCTACCTAACACATAGTAGGTGCTCTATAAGTGTCTGATAGTATCTGGAAAGCTTCAAGATTTGGAAAAAATCTCTCTGATGGGGATGGCAGCAACTTAGAAGGCTACTGAGAAGACAGTGAAAACAGACCTGGCAGGTGGCAGTCAGCCAGGGAACAACTACCCAATTAGCCCCTCTGAGCACCTTCCACAGAGGAAGATCCAAAAACCAGATGCACAAGGGGACAAAACAAGCTTCCTAAGCCTCCAGAACATACAGTGGCATCRAATGGCCACCATAATGGACTTCAGTCTTGATTTATGTATTAAAGAACACTTAAGGGCCACTGTCACAGAGTTGGTGATCTGCACCCTCTAGGAGATTATTAAGGTCTAAGTGATTTCAAAGGGAAGACACAGTGATCTCCTTTAACAGAATGYAGTTCATGAGTCAATAGCATTTAATAATCGATATCTTGTGGGCTACACATTTTACTAGGTGCCTCAGGATGTTACACAAAGAGAATTTGCTTTTGCATTCAAAACAACAATGATCAGTACCAGAAAGTGACACCATGAGGAGATCATACTGTGACAAATACAGTTTTGTCAACACAACAATATCATGTACCCTGTTCTGTCAGAATTTTGAGATGGACAATTTCTACCATTACATTTCTTTATGTGATAACTGACCTGGATACCAATTTAAGAATGCCATCACATTAATTCCAATAATCACTACAAATCTAGGGAAGTATTACTAGCCAAATGTATTCTGAACACTTTTTAAAGCACAGTGTCTTATTTTTGCTTTTATATGAAAAATATATTTGCTAATCAAAAAACTKGACTGCATGTATTTAACATGCCCAATGTAATTAAACTTATAAATTATAATCCACATGTTTCTTAGGTTTTGGAAAAGGAAAGTATTATGAGACATCTTTGAAAGAGATGTGAAGAAAATAAACTCACATCAAAGACACTGAGAACATTCAGTTTTGGAACTGGAGAAAGAAAGGATCTTAATGATTATCTTCAGAGTAGAGCCAGAAGGTAATCATGGATTTGAATCCAGGTAGACAGAAATTAGTTATCCCCCTAAAAAAGTCAAATAAAATAAAAGACAGACTCTATAACCAATAAACAACATGACAGAAACTAAAACCAACACAAGAAAAATCACCTACATATTTCTTCCAGCCTAGGACTCTGGCTTCACTTATATTCCACTAGGRAATTACAGAAGAAAAGGTTTTTGTTTTGTTCTGTTTTCCTGGTGAGTAGCTTAAAGTCTTAAGAATTTTTGTAGAATCTAAACAGCACCCCAGGAAAAGTCCCTGAGTGACTAATGAACATTATGTGTTCTCTTTTAATCCTGATTTATACCAGGTCCAATATGATTGTGTTGGTTCTGGCTTCCTATTGCAGAATGAATGAAATGAAAATTACTTTTAGGTCATTTGAATCATTCTATAGTTTTCAATAGACTGAACCTGACATTATTACAGCCCAGGAAGTTCTCAGTTTTTGAATGAGTCCTGCAGCTTTCTTCCCCCTCCTTTTCTGCCTCTCTTTTCCCCCTTCCCTCTTTGTTTCTTGCTTCCTTCCTTCCTCCACTCTTCTCATTCTGACGTACTCATCTCTTTGAGGCATCTAACATATTATTAAAATTTGACCATCACTGACGCACAGTAGAGCGGTTACTGCACATTGGTAAAGTGTCCTCCTTCTCAGGGGTCTCAGGCAAGGGCAGGGAATGAATGCCCAGAACACTGACAAGGAAGCTGTGACATGATCTGGCCATCAGTCCCTGCCTGAGCATGACAGGAAACCAGGCCTTCTGACCAGAGAGTGTGTCTCTGACTCTAATTGGMATGATTTCCTGATTCATTTATACAAAGAATATATGCCTTTCTAAGAGATGCAGGAAAAAAAAGGTACTATTTCCAATCACTCCAGTCTCCTGGGGCTCCCCCAAATCATCCTGACAGGGAGGAAGAGAGAAGTTGGCAGATTTCAGCACATTAATAGCAAACGACAAATTAGTAACTATGTAACTATGTTCTTTAATCTTCAACATTCATAATTGCACAAAGTATCACTGATCATTTAAATAATACATGTCAAACAATCTAATGAAGAAAGGAGTAAGGTACAATGTTAAAAGCAATAGCTTGAGCTTATAAAATGTCTGATAATAACATTTAACACTCAAAGTGCAGAATCTTGACAGGTCTTCTGAAAATTTTAAGTCCTTACCAATAGGGCAAAGCACTATAGATAAACACACACAAATATATTCAACCTGCTYCATCTCTCTGCTGAACACACAGCAATTCTGACTTCCAATATATACATAGTGTTTTTAACATATAAAGCTGCAACTGCAGAACAGCAACAGGGGAAACTATCCTTTACTTTCAAAATAGAATCGGGTGGGGTAGTCTAGTCTCCTGACTAGCCAACTTTAAAATGGCATAACCAGAACTTTGTTACAGAGAAAAATATTTTTCCTTAAAAATGTATATGTGTTAAAGATGGCTGAAAATCTTGTCCACGCTAGGGGAAAGTTGAGTGTGGAAAAATCTGCATTTTTCTATCTATGCCATAAAGAAAATAAAAAGCCAGAGCATTCTGGCATTAGCAAAAGGCTGAACTAAGTTCTCAGGCAATAAATTTATGGGGAAACATGACGGGCTTCTCATTAAAGCTATGTGTACATTGGCTGAATTTTATACAAGATTCTTGAATCTTGTGGAAAATTGGGCACGGCTTGACATCTGAACAATGTCCCTGGTTTGTTTGATTTCTAAAGCATCGGAAAATGTTGCACTTTGAAAATCAAGTAGAGAAGAATAAACACACTCTAAAACAGAACTGGGCTGCATCTGGCTTATTTTTCCATATGTCTGCATGAAATATTTATTACGTTTATTTCTCTTACAAACACAGCCCCCACGTTAGAAATACTGCGGAGTTTTTTTTTTTTTTTTTTTTTTTTTGGTGGTGAGAAATAGTACTTTTAAGGCAAATCTTACCCAGCAGCAGTAACCACCTAAGGATAGGCAATTTTCAGTTGGCTTTCAGAAGCTGGTTGCCATGACGAAGAACACAATTTATTCCTTAGTCCCTTATCACAGCTACGATCACAGACCATAAAAATTAACAAGGCTCTTTTCCTTTTCTGTATGATTTCAGAGCTCCTCATCCTTACCTGAGGTCTTTTGTTCCCCCAATTAAATAGAATGAATGTCAGTCATCTAGCAATTCAATTAATGCTGATTCAAAATTCCGGCCAAAACCAGAATCTATAATCACAACCTCCTAATCACAGCTCAGTCGTGAGAATGAAAAGTAAGCAGGAAATTGCACTAATTACTCAATTAGACTAATACTGTCTTTTAAAGCAAGGGCTTAAGGGTTGTCAGCCTGACAAAGGACTTCAGAGTCCTCCTCACCTTGTGTGTTCCTGTTGCCTGAGTGAAACTCGTGTTTTCAAGTGGTCATAATTTCTACTCATCTAACGCAGATGAACTCCATCAGGCAATGGAAATTTACAACTGATATACAGACTACAAGTGAGGGACCGTTCTGGTGGCTTCTAGGGGTTCCCAACATAGGCCTGTACAATGGCCAAGATGATCCCTCTTCCCAATGTGAAGACAGGAGAGTGCACACCTTTCTGGCCCCAGGAAACCATTTAACGAGGGGGARTGCTAAAGAAAAGTAGTGCTTCTCTACAAAACCTTAAATTAAGCCATGCTCACAGGTACCAGACTCTGAACTCCCAACAGAGCCACAGCATGTTGGCAGAGCTCTTTAGAAAGCCACTCACACCTGGTGTGGGCCTATGGGTGGCTGGAACCAAGGCTCATACACACCCTGGGGACTGTTGCCCACRCCAAGCCCACCTGGAGAAGCCTTCATGAAATCAATAATGAATAACAAAAAAACTGGTTGGGAATAACATACCAGCAGATGTGACTGAAATATTTACAAAACAACACTGGATATAGAACAAACAAGCTGGACCTTATTTAAAAGAGAGAGCGGTCCTTTTTTTCCTATTTAGTTTCAAAAGACTTAAATATTCTRTAAACAATAGGGAGGACACTAGAGCCTGTCATGCCTCTGGTTTTTGTGGTTATCTGTCAAAATCCTTCCCGAGCTGGCTGCAAGGAGAGGAGGGGGAGACAGGGAGAGGGAAGATGGCCTACCCTACATGGCATGGGCTTTTCTCTACAGCGGTTCTGAAAATGACCAACTTGGGAACTGCGCAGGGATTCTGAAAGGAGGGAAAACATTTATTTGACTAAGTGAGATAAAGTCTTTACTTCCAGGGTTTGCCTTGCAGGTGGCCACTGCCAAGTGCTCGGGGGTTCGAGTGGCCAGCAGGGATCCCAGTGGGCAGGTTCTGACTACTGCGGGCACTAGGCACTTTGGAGTCTCTTCCAGAGGAGTTAGTTTGGTTCAGCCGGCCTGGAGGGAGCAAGAAAGAGGAGCTGAGCAACAAGAATGATTCCAGGAACAATCCGCCAAGTATACTTTTAAGTTAATGAAGTCCTAGTCTACCACCACTTTTAAGCTAATGAAGCCTGGTGCAGCATGTACTTTGGGCCAATGATGACCTATTCCTCATCCTTGAGATCCACTTGCATTGGGGAAGGGGGGAGGGATGGAGTGAAGCTCGGATASCTTTTTTGCTTTCTCACTGTTATCCCCAACAAACCTAGTCTCTCATTTTTCCTTTGGTGGAAAGGGGTACAGGATGAGGGGTGATTAGAAGAAGGAAAGAGGGGCAAAGGTAAGACATAAGGACAAACCAGAAAGTGCTGGGTGGTGGCTTAAATGTACCCAGAAGCAATGGAAGGAAAAGAAAACTTYCTGAGAAGGAATCTGAATGCCTTATGCTGCGCTCAACCCTGCCTGAGATGCACCCTTTGACTGATAAATTCTTCTCTATGTCTAATTCTTACCACTATCAGGGGTCACCCCTACCTCATACCTGGATCAGCCATATTTTCAGATAGTTAAAGAATCTGAATAGKAAAGTGAAGTTTTTCATATGATGAGGGAATATTTCAAGCTACAAATCTCAAGTTTCACAGAAAACAAAGGTCAAAATATCTTACTAGGATTGTCTGTGGGACCCTGATCCTCTTCCAGATAATATCCTATCTTTTTTAAGTCTTCTGGGGTAAATCTCCATTTGTTCTCAGCCGGTGGGGGTGGCACTTTGGGGCTGGATCGTTTCCGGGCAGAACCAGGAGGTGGGGCCTGCTGGCAAGATGCTGGCAGGGAACCAGTAATCAGTCCTTCTGGGAATTTCTGAGCCAAGACTTTTAGACCTAGACATAGAAGAGCATCAAAACAAATAAACAAACATAAAACAAAACAAAAACAAGATTAACATGGTAAGGCCACATCAAACCCTGCATGTCTCCTAATCTTTGGTCACCAAGTTGAAGCCAACACAAGGACATGAAATCTTTCCTAATGGTTTCACCATTAAGCAAATTACACCAGAAAATGTTACACGGGAATGTTCTGAGAATTCCTCAAGAAATCGTTTTGCTCAAATCTTCAGCATTCTTCCAGAGCCCTGAAGCAACACTGTTATTTTAGGAATTAAAAACATGTGCAATAGAGCTAAAGGACAATTCACATAACTCCTAGTTCCTTTGAGAACACTAAATTCCATACACTGAGAAGAAAAGGTGATGGGGTGGGTTGAAGGACTGTGAGTCCACAGATCTATCTTTTAAGTCCCGAGGAGAAGGTGGCCTTGCTCACCTCCAGAAAGCATGAAGAGGTTTTCAAACCCCCGCTCACACATGGTGGTGGCCGCCTGGCTGGCCAGTCTTTCGTCGTCGTCATACAGAATGATGATCTTGCCGTGAGCATTTTTCTAAAAGATAAGTTAAGGATCCAGGCACTGAGCTAATGCTCCCAGATTATAAGAAACCCCCAGGTTTCTTCCTTCTGAGTTCAGGAAATGTCAGAGGAGTCCATTCTTACCCATCACACCAGCAGTTACTGGATATTTCCTGTCATGGAAACCACATGAGCTAGTTTTCTTTTCTTTTGTGAACTAGTATTACCATAGTCTGAGACAGTACTAGTTACATACCTTATTTACACCCTTTGGTTTTTTTCATCCCAGGAAGTAAATACTATACACTCTAGTATCCATTTTACAAACAAAGAATCTGGAAAATTTCTAAATCCAATGTATTCACTGAAGTCTTCCTTATAATAGTAAAAAGATGGAACCATCCAAAAGTCCAAAATAAAGGAATGGTTTAATAAATTATAGTAAATCTGAAGATGAGATAATATACAGTATCAAAAATGGAGTTTACAAAGAGCTTATGTTAGGATGGGGAGACATGCTGTAATAAGAAGTGGAAAAAAGCAAGACACTATACATACAGTATGGTTTCAACTTTGTAACACACACACACACACACACACACACACACACACACACACACACACATGAGAGTCCAGAATAAAATATACCAATAATATAACAAGAGCCAATGCTCCAACTGTGTGATTATGGGAGATTTCCATTTTCTTTTTTATATTTTTCAGTATTTTAATTATTTTCTACTTATACAATTTTTGTGAATGAAAATCTTTTTTAAATAAAAAATTTTAAAGGAGAAAAAATTAAAATAGAAAAATATTTATTTCTTAAGTTCTACTTGGGTAAACTTTCTGGTGGGACAATATCTTAGGACTACCTTTCAACAGATCATAACCTTTCACCTAATGTTTTTTGGCCCAGTGCAGCATGGTTTGAAAGCATCTGCCTTCATCGTCAAGATTCTAAGCAACAGTTAGAAATCCAAAGTCTCAAATATGCTAACCTGACAGCCTTCTCCCCGGGAACACGTTTTATGGTACGTTTGATTCTTGTAATCCTCATCCTATCCAACTCCTTAAAATACAACAAAGGATACATATTCAAGAATATCATTTGAATAGGGGTTCATCGTTCTAGACAGAGTTGCAATTGGGTAACTGTAAGCTGTGAAGAGAAGAAAATGTTTAGAAGTCTGTAGCTCTCAGTACAACTTGGCCCTAGTTCCCAGCTGGTTTAAAATTTAAGAGGTAAATACATTTTCAAAATCATGAGCCATAAACCTAAATACACTGGGGAATAAAAAGAAACAGGACATTATGAACAAAGAATGAAGCTTCACTTCACTGTTCACATCTAGTATTGGTGAACCCTGAGCCATTTGAGAAGCATCAGCAGCCTCTCTTAGAGCACATGGTGGAGCCAACCTGAGAGGTTTCCATAATGGATCTAGTACACACACGGACTCCCTTGTCAATGCTGGTTGTGGTTCAGCCTGCCTGGACTCAAGAACAGTCTCTGTTCCTGGGAATGAGGTACTATAAAGCCCTCTCTCTCTTACCTCCAATGATGTGGCACTGCTGGTAAGAATCTCTATCACGAACATCTAGCAGCAGGAAGGGGCAGTCAGAATAAGGTTTGTCTTTGGTGTTAGGCTCTGCTTTCTTCACTAGCCCTTTGTCTAGATCCAGTTCCCCGACACCACTGATGACGCTGTAAGGGGAAAAAATAGGTCAGGAGAAAACAGTCAGGGTTTGGTGGCTTAAAGGTCAAATGCATTTAGAACAGTGAGATGAGTGCTCAATGTCTTTTTAAAAGGYACTTCAAAGGAGAAGGTAAATGAGTACAGTGTTCTGCTTCTGAATGCAGGATCCTGTGGATTCCTATTCTATCATCCTGGACCCCAAGAGGGGGATCCATGTATCCATAATTACCTCCAGACAATGCCTGGTGATGACATGGCCAAGGGGGTATAAAGTGTCGGGCAGCATACAGAGAAAGAAAGAGGGGAACAGTTAATTCCAAAGGATTTTGAGGAGTATAAGGAAAGCAGAACAAAGATTGATAAGGACAGGAAAAAACTAAAGGTGTTTCTGTGTGTATTACATATAAATATAAAGTGGCAATAATATTTTATATATTTCCTATRTAGCCAAACACCACATAATGACATTCTGATCAATAAAGGATGGCATATGCAATGGTAATCCCATAAGATTATATTGCCTAGTCATATTGTTGCCATTTTAGTTTGGTCACTGTGTAAGTACAMTCTATGATGTTCCCACCATGAAAAAATCACCTAACTACATTTTGTCATAATGTTCCATCATTAAGTGACATGTGAATGTACTTACACAAGATACTGAACCTTAAAACTTTGAACAGTTAGTTATCTGCACTTATGTCCATTTGACTCATTACAATGTTGAAGCTGAAGAGGTTTTTATATTTAGTGGCATTCATATAAATGAGACAGGAAGAGCTGGGATTAAACTGAGAGATTCATTACTGACAGTTCTATTTCTAAGGTCATCTAACTACTAAAATTAGTTGCCATCTTAATATTAGAGAGGAAATGTGGTGAAAACATGAATCAAAGGACTAAGACGACGAGGTGTTATGAACAAAATGGCAAGTGGTGAGCATATCTGCAGTGGACTGAGAAGATGGTTACTTTCCTAGGAATATTAAGACACATATGCTAAGCCACAGTTTAGTATGTGGTGTATTTCCTCTTCCATCACAGCACATCAAATTCTGCATTTAAATTTAATAAACACTATGACTGTATCCTATATAGTGCAAATTTTGTTGAACCAAAGATGAAGAAACTCTCTTTCATATAGAACTACATCCTCAGTAGAAGTCCTTTAGGCCTATCTTTTCTTGAATGCATTTTTAGAGTCTTTTCACAGTAGAGATACTGATGATGGCAATCTTTTTCTAGTAGAACCTAGTTTCTCTAGTAGAATCGTTCTACCAGTAGGAGGGATGAATATATGCTAAAAATCATCTCCAGTTCTATAATCAGTGGTTAATATTTGTGAGAAAGTGCTACATGAAATAGAGCCCAAGGAATAAGAAAAACCAGTCACGTGCAATTTAAGAATCAACACAAATTGCTGCTTTCACTCTCCTTTGCTGTTCTCTGGGCTTTATTTTTCTGATTTTAGACAGAGCAATTATAAGCAGCAGTAGGCAGAAAAGGGGGTAAAAATCCTACTCTGAATGAAAAAACAGTACTTATAAAGCTAAGTATTAATAATAAACTTACTACAAAAGGGCTGAGAATGGAACTTGGGAGGGAAAATGAGTACTCTTGTATTAATATAGTCATTATTGGGGACTGAACCCAGGAGTGTTCTACCAGTGAACTATATTTCCCATTCTTTTTTATCTTTTATTTTGAGACAGGATCTTGCTAAATTGCCTCCAATTTGCGACCCTCCTGCCTCAGCCTCCTGAGTAGCTGGGATTATARGTGCATGCCATTGTGCCTGGCTAATATATTCTTATATTAATTCAGTAAGACTGCGGTGAAAAAGATTCAGGAGATGGCATTTAAATAAAGAAAAAGTAGAAGGGCCAGAATTAAAATATAGGACCTCACTACTGCCAGCTCTGTTTCTAAGGTAATTAAATCACTGAAATTGGTGTTTAGATTAATCTGAAGGTAAATGTGACTTGGATGAGAGTACCTCTGAAGAGTGGAGCGACTAGAGTCCCCTGCTCCCGCACTGTTGATGAACTGGACTGGGCTGGGTGACTGCTCACCAGGGTTCCCTTTTCCGTTGGTCCTGGCAGCAATTTCAGCATCGGGGTCTGAAGTTGCAGAATCATTGTCTAAAATTTGCAAATGAGACAATTAAATTTAACCTCAGAATTTGTACTTACTTATATTAAGTAGCTCCACAGAAATGAAGTCAAGAAAAGAAAATCTTATCACCATTATTAAATTTTTCTAGAAGTTGTAATGCACAGGTTCTCAAAATGCAAAAGACCTCAGGAGTCCCCAAAACCCTTTCAGTGGGGGGGGTCTGCAAGGTGAAAACTATTTTTATAAGATGCTATTTATCTTTTTTACTAGGTTGATATTTGTACTAATGGTGCAAAAGAATTAGTGGATAAAACACTAGCTCTAGCGAGAATAAAGGCAATGGTACCAAACTTTACTAGCAATCCCATTTTCACTCTCATGTGTGCACTCACAGAAAATAAGTAGAGCAGTCACATAAAAAATGTCCCTGATAAACAATAATAATTAATAATTTTATTAAATCTCACTTTAAAGTGAGTACACATCTTTTTAATGTTCTGTGTGATGAAATGGGGAGTCCACATAAGTCAAGTATGCTACATATGTCACTGCCATGGTTATCTCAAGAAAAAGCATCAGAGTGACTGCTGAGCGGCAGCTGAGCCAGCTGTTTTTGCCGAGGACACCGTTTTTGCTTAGAAGGAAAACTGACAGGAAAGCTCTTGTTATTTACACTTGTGTATTTTGTAGACATTGCCTCAAAAATGAATTAAGTGAGCCTGTCAATTCAAGGAAAACAACGGATGGTATTTGTTGTCAATGATTTAATTTTGAGCAAAACCCAGGATTTTAGAAACTGTATTTGCCATCGGGCACTGAAGTATGAGGAACTGCTTCCCCATACTTATAGATATTTCTGGGAAAATAAATGGTGAGATTAAAAATGTGATTTTTTTTGATAGTGTGTAAAGAAATATGTCAATATAAGATCATCATAACTCAGTGAAATGATATTTTCCAAATGACCACTGCAAGATATAAAATCATGCATGGGTAAAAAATTCACTGAACATGCAAAACAGACCAATGGATTTCAATGTAACCAAGTGTGAATGGTTCATTGATTCAGATTCTACTTTACAGCTAGCCTTTAAGAAATGACAAGTTGTCAAGTTTTAGTGTAGTATCAATGAAAAATATCCAGAATTATCTGAAAAGGCTATTAAAATACTCTTCCTCTTCCAACTACAGGTCCATGTGAGGCAAGATTTCTTCRTGTACTTCAACCCAAATAGTACATTACAACAGACTGAGTGTAGAAGCAGATGTCAGAATCAGCTGCCTTCTATTAAACCAGACATGAAAGAGATTTACAAAATATGTAAAACAATGCCACCCTCTCTGTAAAATTTTGTTTTAGAAATATAGTTATTTTTCATTAAAATGCGTTTTTATGAGCTCGGGATGTGGCTCAGTGGAAGAACACATGCTTAGCACACATGAGGCCCTAGGTTCAAACCACAGTAACATACACACTAAGTTTTTGTGTTTGTAATGGGTTTAATATTGTTATTTTTAACTGAAATAATAAATACTGTTTAAGTTGTCAGTTTAAAAAGTTAGCACACTAAATATTAATAGAAATAATSTATATAAACCAAGGTTCTTTGAGGTCCTCAATAATTTTTAAGAATGAAGAAGGACACTGAGATAGAAATGTTTGGGAATTTGCAGTTTAACCAATACAAGAAGAAAGGAAACAGAAATAAGAGGCCTCACTTAAAAAAAGGATATGAAAATTTAATATGCCTATGATATGATCATATACCTAGAAACTTCAAGAGAATACAGACACTAAACATGTGGTTAAGATTTTTTAAATGCTAATAAATATTTTTCCTAGGTATTTATTTGAACATGAAAAAAAATCACACAGTACCTGCAGCTGTGAAATAAACTCTCATAGGAATAAACCAAAACAACTGTAAAGGATTTATAAAACTTACAGGACTTAAGACAAATTTTACTTAGGGGTCTTAAAGAAAACCTCAATAAAGAAAGTGCCACACCTTGCATATTTCTGAGTGGTTGTCTAAAGGTGAAATGGTGTTAATCCTTTTCAAACTTAATTTTCATCTTGTAATACTAATCACAATAGATTTTGTAAGTGGTGCTAGGGATTGAATTCAATCTAGACAAGTGCTCTACCACTAAGCCATATCCCAGCCCTAAAAAAAAAAAAAAAAAAAAAAATTTAAAGATGAACACACACACACATACATAAATAAAATTAAGGATAATTTCAACAAACTGCCTTATCAAATAAATAGTAACATAAATGATCAAAATAGTACAGAACTATAACAATGGAATATAACACAGAACTTGGAAACAAATCCTAGAACATACATAAAAAGTTAAAGATGCACAGCTCAAAACAGTGGGTAAAGTGAAAACTACTAAATGGGTGCTGGAAGTATTTCTCAACTATCTGAAAAGAGTCTAATTTAGATAATCACCTTGCATCATATACCAAAATATATAACAGATACTTTAAATATAGAAAACACACACACACACACAMACACACACACACACACACACACACAAACACCCCAATAGAAGAAGATACAGGCAAACACTTTATCTTATTTTGGAGATTATTAGTCTAAAGCAATAAAAGAAAACACAAAAATAAAGGCTAATAAGGTTTGATTATATAAAAATGCAAATTTCATATATTTCAAAAACCAACACAAAGAAAATTAAAAGGTGAATAACAAATTAGGAAAAGTATTTGTAACAAAGATGTATATGCTTAATTTATAGCTTTTAAAAATTAGCTCTTTAATTGAATAAAGATCATGTGCACAGGGTGAAACTGCAAGCCAGATGAAACTGTTGCTATGGATTGAAAGCCCTCCCAGACCATCCTTCCAGAAACCTGTGTATATATTTTACTTCTTCTCCCTTATACATAGCCAGAATAATTTCATTCATACTGTTYTATACTTTGGGTTTTTATTTTGGTGTTGTTTTATTTTCACTTAATAATATACCTTGGAAATTGTTCCAAATAATCAAGTAAAGATTTTTCTCATTTATTTTCAAGGTTGTATTTTATATAAAGATATCAATTATTCAGAGCTCTTACAAATCAGTAAGAAAAAACAAAGAGTATCCTATTAAAAGAGCTCAGAGCTTAAAAAAAGAAGTATGTATAACTAAACAATAAATAAATRTGCTCATGCATATACATATACACCCCTCAAAGTCATTATCAAAGAAGTAAAAAATAAAACTACTAGATACCATTTTTCATCCATTGAATTGGCAAATATATTTAAAAATGATAACTATTCAGCACTGGATAGGATGGGAGAATCAAGTCTTCCCATCACTCCCAATGGGGTGCATCTAGGTACAGCCATGCTGGAAAGTGGTAGTCAGCATGGAGTCATAATGGTTCTACCCTTTAACCATCTGCAGCAAATTATCTTCAGAGAATAAGGAGAGTCATAGCATTTATTTATTTTATTTTTTTTAATATTTATTTTTTAGGTTTTTTTTTTGGCAGACACAACATCTTTGTTTTTGTATGTGGTGTTGAGGATCGAACCCGGGCCGCACGCATGCCAGGCGAGCGTGCCACCGCTTGAGCCACATCCCCAGCCCAGCATTTATGTATATATACTGCAGCAGCATTTTATTAAAGTGAAAAATCAGAAAAGAATGCAATGCCCAACAATAGGAGGATAATTAAATTATGGTATATCCCTAGGATAAACCTACGACAACACAACCTTTCCAATCATTCTTTTGAAGTCTATTTAACAACATAGGAAAGTATGCATTGAAAAATGTTAATTAAAAGCAGTATAATACAAAACTATACACAAAGAATACGGATTTGATTGGGGTGAGGTATAAGATGCAGGAGGAAATGGACCAAAATGTTAACAATGATTATTGTTTATTTTTTCTTCTTTATATATATTTTTTAGTTTTGTAATTTACTAGGAAAATACTTTTAAGTTAGAAAGAAAGCAATAAACATTGTAAAAGGAGATTTCAGAATTCTTCAAAGATGACCAGTACACATTCAGATAGGATCTGTTCTACAGGCACTCCTGAGTGAGTTATTATCTGTGTAGAGCACTAGAAAAACACTAATATTACTCACACATTATGGTGTCCTACTTTACAAGAGCCTATTTTGCTGCGCAAATTTATCTCAGAAGAGAAAATTGCATGTGCCCATATGTTCTGGTGCTGCAATCTCAACAATGAATTAAAGGACCAAATCTAGGTTCTTATATAACCCAGTTAAAATTGGGAGTACTTGTATGAGGAGACTCAATTATCTCTGTTACAAAGAGCCCTTATTTCTCTGCCGTGTGAGAGGCATCTGTCAAAGATAAATTCCTGTCGTTTTCAGATTCTCTTTATTCTCTCTAACAAAAACCAGCCCAGGGAAATGACAGTTGAGTTGCACAAAACCAGTGTTCAGACTTCCTGAGAAACTTGTCTTGAATTCAGAAGTCAAATTCCTGACCTACATCAACCTTAACAAACACATTCTCCTTCAGTAAACAGCCACACATTGATTGCGGGGTACTTCAGGATAAAATCAAGACCTGAAGTCTATGTATTCTTTTCATGAGCGTACAACTACAGAGGTTTTATTTTCCACTCCGTATTTAAGAAAGGAAATCTGGAGCCTGCTTATCTTTCTAGCCTTATCTCCTATCCAGTGCCTACTCCTCCTTTAGTCCAYAGTCAGACTGGATGAATTGATTCCCTAAACATGCCTGGTGTCCTTTCCTCTCTATGCCTTTCTCAGGCTGTTCCTCAACTTGTAAAATTCTTATCTTAACCTTGCACTCCCACAAGGCCCCTGTGGAATGCCTTGAAGAATCCTACTTCAGTCTTCTAAGTGGAAAGAACTTTTCCTTCCTTGTATCTCCCCTAGTAACCTGCATCTTTCTCAAGAAAWTTTCCAGAATCCTTTCATGAGGTAGTGAGAAGACACTGGTTACATAGGAGACACTTGGATTAGTGTCCCAGGTCCATTCCTTGCTAGCTGTATCACCCTGAGCAAGAGATTTAACTTCTAAGACATGGTCTTCTTATCTATAAAGTGTATGCTCCTTCCAGAGTTCTTGAGAAGATTAAGAAAAGTAACATGAAGTACCTAGCAACATATACTCAACAAATGATGGTTGCCTTTCATTTTTCCATTATTGGATCCTGCTGTATTAGTAATTCTATTGTACTGTTTATTCTCTTCACCCAACACATGTACTGGTATGCATGTGTGCACATGTGACTACAAATTCCACATAAACARAATTGTTTGGTTCGACTCTGTGTCTCATAGCCCTGAATTCTGTGACCTGTATATATAGAGAAAGCACTAAAAATATTTTGAAAAAAAGTAAATAGTATATGAAACAAATCTACAATGTTAGATGTGTTAGACATGCTCTACATGTGTTAGACCCAGAAAACCAGATGGCTTTTTTTAAAGAAATTAGAATTAACAATTTAAGCACCAGGCAGCATTTCTAGGAGTAACAATAGGATTAAAATAGTTATATCAAAGTCCTGAGTCCTTATAAACACACCAGCAAATGTAGAATGAGTACAATAAAGTGGTCAATCTTCTATTTTCCCCACGTCCTGGATTCTCATTACCTTCTAGCCTTTGGATCTCCTCAGTTGTCACTTCCAGTGTTTGATCAGATAGAGAAGCAACTTGGATGACCTGAGAGAAAAAGAACAAAATGTGTAAATGTGTGTATATTTGTTTAAGCAGAGACAATTCTGTCTTTTACAAAAGACCAGGAAACATCAAAGATCAAAGATCTCTTGTTTTAAGCAGCTGTCAGTGTCTTGAACTATAGACTAAGTCTCAGGCTTTTCTACTTTCAGGATGGTAATTATATTGCAGATGATCATTCCAGAAGAAGAGATTCATGTAAAATATTACATGACAAACTTAAAAGACCAAAAGGATAACTTAGGACAAGAAACATGAATAAGAGCTTAAAACTACATCTGTTCTCAACATATTGTTGGTCTCAACATGACACAGTATTTCTTAAAAATGCAATACTAACCTACAAAAAACGTATACAGTATTGACAATGCTCATGTAATGAGGAAATAAATGTAATTATGAATATACTTATTATATAATAAGTTACAGTACTTTATATCTAAATACAGTATTCATTTTTCATGCTTTTCTCATAACGTAGCTCATAAGGCCCAAAATCCAACTTGAGTTATGCCAATGTAACTCTTGTTTGGGGGCTAGAGAGGTAGCTTATCCATACATTTAAAAATGAAAGAAGAAAATGACTTGCCCAAAGTAACAAAATAAATTACAATGGAACTGAAAAGACCTCAGTCATAGAAGAAGGAAAATCACTTGGGTTCCACAGGGGACAATATTCAAAAAAATTCTGAATCTGGAATTCTAGATTCTAAATATTGAGTTAAACGTAGAAGGTAAAATAAAACCTAAGCCATAAATTTTAAGAATTTAAAGCAGAATGCACATTTACTTACTTTACAGAATTCTTACTGAAGAAAAGAAAAATTTCACACCATCTTTATGTAAACATTCAGACCGCATACCAATTAATCCTCCCACAGGTGAAATTTGARGAATCAGAAACAATTCTTCTGCACAACCCCTAGAGCTGAATTTAGAAATGTTCACATAAAGCAGCACAAATTGGTTTTAACTCCAATAGAAAGATCATTAAACTTACCAGCTGGGCAAAAGTGGTAACTTTTAGTCTCTTGAAAAGCTCATCTTTTTTGTATCTATAATCTGAAAAGCAGAATAAGACATGTTTATCTGGGTCTATTTTGCTTTCTTAGAGATTAAGACTTTCTAGTCATCAAGTCATATGTTATATCTTTCTAGTCATTTATATGCTTTTACATGTATTATTTCATTTGATCTTCATGATATGCTCAGAACCAGGCAGGCATGTAATGCTACCATCTCTTCATTTCCCCCTTGGTTTTGGTCATCAAGAGCACAGACTGCCATTTTCCTTTTACTAAGCTGTCTCTACTGTGGTCATGTTATATGGCATGCACTTTTGTAAGCTGCCTCAAATCCTTTTCAGGACAAACAGGGAATAAATGTCTACATTTTACAAAGAAGGACAGAGATCCAGAGAAGCTGAGTTACCCCAGGCCAAATGGCTAATACAATGTTTATACCCTACTATTCTGACTTTGGCTTCAAAAGAGAGCAATCCTTTTCCTGTGGTTGAAACTATGCTAGAGTCATTGGGACAACGTGTGTGCATGCACGAATGCACCCTGGGCATGAAGTTGTGACTGGTTCTKATAATATCAGTTTCTCTTAAAAAATGAGTTTTGTAAGACAAAAAAGTTCTGAAGATCTGTTCCATAACAATGAGAATATACTTAACACTATTAAACTGTATACTTAAAATGTTCAGATGGCAAATTATATATTTTGTGTTTTTACCTCAATTAAACAAAAAAGTAAAAGCCAACCTAAAACACTGACATTTATTCAGTGCTATCTTTACAGTTTTTATTATAACTCAAATGGGGGGTACTTTATACTTGTGTTAATAGTTTTCATATCACATTAAACAGTTACTAAAAACTGAGCCAATGTCACTTTATCAAGTATCTAACCTGTAGATATCTRTTAGAAGTTAGTTTCCTTAAACTTCTGAAGATGACTGTCAATTCTGAAGCATTTTCAGTGTTGAACCCTGCCCACCCTTATCCTTCCCTCCTCTTCTAGCTTTTTGTGTTTGTGTCCAAGACTCCTTAAATACTGCCTCATTATTTCAGAATTACTGAAGGTTAGCTGGATAATTGCTATGGCCTTCACAGCATAAATGTCTCATAAACCAAGACTCCTAGCAACAAGGGAAAGGATTAAAGGTATTTAAGATTATTTACTTGGTGTTGCTAATCAGTTCCACGAATTCTCAAAAAAACCAGCATAGACCGGATGGTTACTTTGGAGGATAATGTAAGCTTGGTTGAACAAATACCTTGATATTCAGAGTCAGGAGATGACACTACCTTAAAAACTAGTCTTCTGTAAATATTTCAAGACTCTTTCTTGCAGGGAATTAAAACTTCTGTTCCAAAATGTCTTGAGGAGAAAAATTTGGCAAATAAACTATCACTTATAGAAAATTCTTAAGAGAGCAACTTCTTCAGCATATAGTAAGGTAATAAGGCTCAACAGAGCTTCCAAAATCTGCTAGGATGAACATCTGAACAGGCTGAGCAGAAGCTTCAAAAAGTGAAGTGAGTAACTACAGCATTCCCCGCCATTGCCACCAACTTCACACCAAAAGACACCTCCGTAAATCAAAACAGCAATAACTCAGTCATGGAAAAAGTCGATAACTTTCAAGTCATTTGTACATTTATCCACTGAAATTCTTTTAGTATGGTTACATAGTTTCAAAGACTTTTAAGCATAAAGCATTAAACATTAAAATCCCATTTAACTAAACAGAGATTACATTAGACAAACACCAGGCTTTGCTGCATCCTAAGGACTGGCATTCCTATCGTCCTCTGTACAAAGCCCCCTGCACTGCACCCTGGAGCCTGAATGCCACGTACCTGGTTCTGGTTTAGAAGAGCCATCAGTAGAACTTTCTGACATTATTACTTTGAGATAAAAGATCAAATTAGACGTCTTATAGTAAGTTTTAAACTCTATCAAAAGGATGGCTTGGAAGGCTCTGTCAACCTTCCTCGCAAAAGCAAACAGCTTTAAGAATGGAGCTTCTGCTACTGAGGCTTCTCTCAGATGCTGGTAGGAGACTAGAAAATTCCAGCTCAGATGTGCTATCAAGGTTTGCTTCTCCAGTGAGCCTAGGATCTGAGTCTGCCTCTCTCGAGTTACTGGAAGGACAGAGACCTGACTATCTAGGATGTTTCACATTGGGTCCAACTAGTGTCATTTAACTACCAAGCACCAAGAATAGGCTTTGTAAACAGTCAATAGTCACAGTGTCTGTTTTCCCCAGGTAGAGTTGAAAGAATGTTCAGATTACAAAGGATTTCTGCATTTGCAGGCATCTGTTAAAATGTGTTATTAGCAAATAAAAGGGAAGTTGGGCTCACAGTGGAAGACAAATCAAAGGAAGTACCAGGACAAGGTCTGATTTCACAGCCAGACGTGGCATCTGAGGTAATGTGGGCAGTGATGGGTCTAGCTAGAGTATCTTGCAACACCTCCCTCTCCACCAAAGAACCCTTACAACAGAACAAGGGAGGAGAGAAGGAAATAGCTTCCAAAATGTAGATACCAAACCAGAACTAAATGAGCACAAAGCAAGTGATCAAGTTAAGTGGAAACTCTGGCCTTATTAAAAGGAAGCCCCCAACTTCTAAGGGAGGAAGGTGAGTGAACATTTTCAAGGATGCTATTGTAAGAGTATTTCTTTTTGGAGAACCTACACTAAGGGTTTAGATATTCAAGATATCACACTGTACTCTAAAGAAATGTTTTAAGCAAGGTTCTACCAATTTGAGTAGAATGGGACATTTTTATGGGACAATTTCTGGTGAGGACATGTGAGCTTACACTCAGCTACAAATGGAAAGGGAGTCAAAAGAGACCACAAACCCCAATAGAAGCAGGCTGGCTGGATGTCGCCTGCTCTGGCTGAATTGAGGATGACAACAATGAAAAGTAGGTAAGTAAACAAGATTTTTTTCATGGTTGGGAAATTCAATATATTTCATATACGTTTTCTATGGACACATGTGTATATACTTAAATAATAACACAAAATGTATAAAAAGAAAAGGGGAGGATCCTGGAATATTACACATTTTTAAAAAGTGTTTATAGCACAATCTCTTCTAACTGAACATGGTACATAAAGGCAGTCAGTACAAAGCTGCTCCCAAGTCTACATCTATAGTACAAGGTTTCCCTGCACTGCAACAATTCAAAAGGAACATTATCATTTTAAATTAAAAGGTCTGTTGTATATAAAAAAAAAATTCTCATGCATTCTAGATTTGTAATTTTCTCTTCCAAGAAGATATATTTTACCAGAGTCAAATGCTGGACTGTGACCACAGGACACTTCACTACCATTAGCTAAATACTCCTAGCACTGGGTTCTCCTACTTAAGACACAAGCAGATGCATCTTAGGAAACAGATGTTTCTAGTTCTTTAATTCTGGCCAAGGCATGTATATTTTACATCAGTTTTAAACACAGATTGAAAAATCATGATTTTGTGCAAGGGCAATATACTCTGTGACTTAGTAAGATATCTTTGCAGTAGATTAGTTTTTAAAAAAGGATGTGCATGAAATATGATTTTTAATTAAGAGAAAACAGACTGCAGTGAATGGATAATGCCGAACACTGTGAATAAGCTCGCTCTTTCTCACACCTTTAAGTCTTCCATGAATACTCTTTAATTTATACTCATAAGAATGTTATGAAGAGAGAGATTATTATCCTGTCTCAGGTACAGACCAAATAAGAGGAGCAAAAAGATTAAGTACTTTGTAAAAAGCCACGAAGGCTGCAGCACAATGCACCTAGAAACTCGGGTATGAACCACTTAAGCAGAGCTCACTCCACCAGACCCCACTCTGCATTCCAATGATGATATCCCCTAAAGGACGCAAGTTGGGCAGAACTGAGATTCACAGGCCACCATCTTAGCAGCTGGTCAGGAGGGTACCCAGTGATTCCCACATACTTCTAGGCAGCTGCCAGGCTCACCTGACTCCCACAGCTCTCCACACATGTCAGCTGTAGAGTATGGTGGTTAGCTGATAACCAGCTTACAGAACATTATGGAGCTCCATTTTTCCAAGCCATCAATAGTGTTACTCACTTTTTTTGATCTCTTCTAGCTTCTCAATGTATTTCGTCATACTGTTACCTAAAAAGAAGGAAGAATTTTAGATATGCTATAAATGGAAGAAAATGAGTAACACTGTGAAAACAGAATGGAAAACAAGTACTTCCTGAGCATCCTTGGCCTGTTCCTATGGGATTTTGGACAGTGGGCCAATGGGCCATACACARTAAACAGCCTTTTTGATTACACAGCATCATTAAAAGTTCTGGAACTGAGGAAAATGTTTTGGTTAAATGCATTTAAGCTAGGGTGCATCCCCGGAAAAACATTTAGCAGTCTCAGAAAATACTAATGATTATTTATATCCATTTTTCCCCTTTTTGAGTGAAAGCTCTCTACCTCCCTATACCCCCCCCTTGTCTGTTTGTGGGGAAGATACATAGAGGACCACCAAAAAAAGAAGCAATTTTCTTTGAATGTCTGAAGTGTGCCCTTGTGGCTACCCAAGCAACCCTTTCCTCTCTGCTTTGTCTTTGTGGTCTCCTCCTCTTTCCTGAACTTGGTCTTCACTATTCATGCTGATGTTGCAGCCTGAACTAGACCACACAGTTTGGATGCTAGTATTCACCATAGGCTTGATTTGCTGAGAAATAACAGCAGGTTCCCACCACTATGGAGAGTCCCCAGCCCTCATGTTTTATGGTCTGGTTCTATAATACTAGGTTCTAGCCAAGGTGGTTTGGAGAGTTTTCATACTTTAAAACTGGGCCAGAATCATTCTGGTTTTCAAATGAATTAAATTCTAGCTCTCAAGCCAGGGACTATTATTTTTTACTGGGCATGCTGCAATTTGACTCAATTCAGCACAGCAAGCTCTATCTGGCACCTAAAAAGTATGGCAAAAGAAAAACATTCAAAATAATTTCACATTTCTAAAATTGTGCTCTTAACATTAAGTCTTGAGAGGGCTAAATCTAACTAGGCTAAATCTAACTAGATCCCAAGTTCGGATCAAAGAAATGCTTCCAATTAATGACATGGATTGATGTTTTCAAGGACTATTTTAAAGTTTTCTTCATGTTTGGGTCAGAGCAATGAGAGAAAAACCTTGCTCTGAAAACCCAAATACATTGTCAAAACACAACTTACTTCATTTGTTGTTATAAATTTTCTATCACAAATTCATTATGGAATAAAAATCTACTGTTTTGTTTTTCATTTTAAGACATACACTCTTTTTTTTTTTTTTTTTTTGGTACTGGGGATTGAATTCAGGGGCACTCAACCACTGAGCCATATCCCCAGCCCTTTTATATATTTTATTTAGAGACAGGGTCTCACTGAGTTGCTTAGGGTCTCAGTGACTTGCTTAGCACCTCACCCTTGCAGAGGCTGGCTTTGAACTTTCGATCTTCCTGCCTCAGCCTCCTGCCTCARCTGCTGGGATTACAGGCATGTGCCACTGCTCCTGGCAAGACATACACTCTTTATCGGGACTAGAAACAAAGATTCAGTGTAGTCCTAGACCCACACTGTGTTCTTCCAGAAGCTGAGAGAGAGATGAAGTCAGTTAGGACTACTCAGAAGGCCTGAGGCTTCTCAAAAGAGATGTATGGYCAGAAGAGGCACAATAACCACCAAAGAACTGATTAAAACCAAATATGATCTTTTCTAGGTTCTTCAGCCTACAATTGACCTAAGAAGTGATCAGAACTCCAGAGAAAAAAAAAAAACATAAATTTTTCCTGGACTTACACATCCCTCCTCCCCACTGCAACTCTAAACTTCTAAACTTGGGCATGGAGTTACCTGATCAATGGAATGAGAGAAGACTACAGCAAATCAGTATGCTGTTCAGCTTCCCACCACCTTATTCTTAAACTATTGGAGCTTTTGGTTGTATGTCCCTGACTCCCCAACAGCTGCACAGTGTTGATGTGGTGGTTGGTGCCTTTGGCTAGGGAAGCTTCAGGCAGTCCAGTCAGAAATTTGGAAATAAATTTCTCCTGTGACACAGCAAGATAGTAACTAAGCCAGGTCCATTCCCAATCTCCCGGTTTCTAATACGGCTCACAAAACACCTGGCTTTTCTAGCTCTGTTGTTTTATTAGTATTTACTCATTTTTGCAGTATTACAAATTGAACCCCCTCCCTGCCCCCACCCCCCCCAAAAAGAAATTGAACCCTACCATTGAGCCACGTCCCCAGCCCTTGTGTTTTAAAAACACGATTCATTGTGAGGTATGAAGTGCCACTTCCTAGACCAAGAGAGATGGGGACCATCTGATKTTAATTCCCTGAGGGATGGAAAATAGAAGCCAACCTCATTTATACTGTCTTTATTATTAAAAGAGTACATTTCCAAGTGACAGTGTTTTCTACTAACGAAGTGTCTAAAATTAATTTCCTTATTAATTATCAACATTTTCAGTGTATTTATACAGCACTCCATCTTGCATCAGCAGACCCTCCCKCGAGGCTCTGAGGTAAGCTGTGCCGCCTACCTTTCGTTTTCCTATCAAAGGAGATGACAGACAAGATCTTTTGCAGTTATGCAGATATTTGGCAAATTTATGAAAAATTCAAGAGGCCCATTAATAAGAAGCTCTTTTTATTACAGACATTCATTCTATCTAAGTGTGGAAGAGAAAAGTTTGGAGGAGAAAAGTTTGGAGGAGAAAAGGAAAGGGAGAATTTCCATATTGCTTCTTTTAGGATGACTGACCCCAAATCAATACAAAATCCCTAAATGTGATTTTAGAAAGTATAAACAGAGGCATTGTATCCTACTGTACACACTTACATGTTAACTAAGTGCCTTATCCAACTATATCTAATTGCATCAGAAAATAGTTTTTTAAAAAATATTAATTTTTTGATTGTAGATTGAYACAATATCTTTATTTATTTATTTTTATGTGGTGCTGAGGATCGAACCCAGGGCCCCAGATGTGCCAGGCAAACACTCTACCCCTGAGCCACAACCMCAGCCCAGAAAATAGTTTTTGACTACCTTTTAAAAAGACTAGAAGAAAATCAACTTCATAATTCACTTATTTATAAACACATTTTAATATGTAAAAAGAGTCTTAAAAACTACTAGAGAGCTAATTTTTTAAAAATATTTGAAATTATACATTACTGCCAAATTTTGCTAGATAAGACTAATTTAAAAGAAAAAAAGACAGAGGCTCTCCATTACTCACTGTCTAAAACTTCTTGCTCTACTACTGAAGATGCCAACTTACCCACCTCCTTCAGTGTTGCCTTAATTATTAAACTTGACAAACTTCCTGTCAGCCTTAGGTTCTCTAACATAATACCTTGTTAGCTCACCCAGCAGGAAGCAATCCGCTCCCTCCTCTGAACTCCTAAAGCACTGGCTTACCACTCACAAAGCATCTGTCACTGGACTAGATTAGTTTTATGTACTTTATTCAATGCAGAGTCCAAGATTATTTATCTGTGCACATGAACACATACACTCACAACCTTTATACCTCCCATTGTCTAGTGGAGGAGATGCTAAAAAATATTTGCTGAATGGAATATACTATAAGGATCTACCCTTTGAAAAATCCTAATAGTAAGTTGTTTAATAATGTAAATAATCACGTTCTAATCTGGCTTGAGTTTTTGCACTGCTGATTTTATTTAAACTATACACAATTTGATATATAAACAAATTATGTTTTGTTTTTACTACTCATATGACCGATATTGACTCAGGCAACTGAGAAGTACATAAAGTGGTATTTGGCTTCTGCCTTGTTACAACTTTAAGTTGCAATGAAAGATATGTAACAAAAGTTTTACAATTAGAATCAAGAGAAAGGAACAATTCAACTCTATCAATAGTCCTGTGCAAAGGTAGAGTACAATTGATTAACCGAGTGACTCATTCATTAGACATTTTTTCCATTGCGGCTCTATAATTTAATAACATTATTTGTACTAAGCCTGTAAGAAAAACCAGTGATTCTGAGCAGCAGTAATCTAAGGTGGGTAAGATTTATAAGGCATGAACTCAGTTGCTAAGAGACAACTCTAAGGCTTTATTTTTCTTCAATATTTCCCTCCTCTGAGAAGTTCTTTTGGCTCAGAATTAGCAGAAAGCGTGAAAAGAGGCACAGTGGTCCTTTGTTAACCTCAATAAGTTCTACGTGTGTATAGTGCACCCTGGTTTATAAAAGCCTTTCACATACATCTCTTCCTTTGACGTAAGAGACAGAATTAAATACCAAATAAAAATGAAGAGCACCCAGTCTATAATGAGTTTGAATGCTTAAGATCAAGGCTATTAGCAAGTATTCAGGAAAAGTAAAAACTAAAGAAGAAAAAAGGAAATGAAATATTCTAGTTTATGCAGAAATAATTAAAGGAAGRAAAATTTTATAAAAATAAAAATAAGCAAAGACTGAATGGAGAAAGTTTGCAAAATTTGGAAAGTGCAAAGAAATGTGAAATGAGATTGAATATAGACTGAAGTAAGAGGTAATGCATCTGGCAGAAGAGTTAGAAGAGACAAATAAAGGGAGAGCCCTGTGGCTTGGGAAGTGTCCCTTAATCAGTCTGCAGCACTGCAGAACAGAAACCCTGTGAGGGTGCTTGAGAACACACAAGAGCCCTGCCGAGCTGGCTGAACAAAATGCCGGCAGGGGTTTCGTCAGGAGCATAATCCACTCATGGATTTGGCAGTGCTGGGGAGCTGGGAAGATACACTCAGGCACCTATAGAACAAAAGAAATGTTGGAAGTTCAAAATAATTCTGAGTTTTCTAGCYATGGTTGTACATCAGTGTTCAGGTTTCTATGAGGAGTCAGAAGTATAGGAACAAAAAATAATCTTTATGTAGGAGTAAAATATCAGTTTCTGAAGAATTCAGCAGATGATTTGGGAGAAGATCAGAGATATTTGGTTCTTGATCGAATTCTTGATTTGTGATTAATTCTTGATTTGCTCACTGGTAAGAAAAGATTAAAGACCCATCCATTTAGCCTTGAAATAGGAAATGCTCATTCATTCCTGTGTCTACTTCCTCTGACTGCAGAGCTTAAAAACATTCTGTAGATGAGAACTCCTAACTCTTACTTGGGCTCTAAAGTCTGTCCTGTGTTTTCTTACCCAGGACTCCTCATCTTTTCCACCTCACGCCACAAATAGCAATGATAATATTTGGACAAAACGCTGGGGTTTGGGCTGCCCCAGGCTCTGCTGGCTTCAAAGGATGATGGGTTCTGGGTCTTGGTACATAACCACAGGTGCTGCACACCAGGTAGAAGACCTCCTCTGAACAGAGAAGTCAGTTACAAAAATGTACAGAACAGAATACCAACATTACAATAAAATCTCTCCCCTAAGTGGACTTTAAAATAGATTCTAAATTTGAAACACACACATACACACACACACACACACACACACACACACACACAATCAAGTCCTAGAATAAGATTTCTCTCCCACACTAACTTTAAAATATTTTGAGCTTTAAAGCACTGAGGCATGCTTTGGCCCTTCCAAAAACTATTATGAAACTAGTTTGGGAGACTCTTGTTTCCAGGAAGATGGGTAGATATACTTTACTCCTCCAGCTGAGTACAACAAAAAATGCTAGAAAACTCATAGAATAGGAGAAAATATCCACAATGATTATATTTCTGTAAATAAAAATAAAATGAAAATAATAATAATCAATAGTAATAAAGGGAGAAAATACAATGATTATATTTTATAAATAAAAATAAACTGAAAATAATCAGTTTACTTTTCCAATTTTGATTATTCAATTTACCATGTAACCACAGTGATCAAGACTGGGTGGTAATGGTAGAGGGACAGACATACTGATCAAGGGAATAGAACAGAGTAAGAGTCTAATATCCAGAATAAATAAAAGAACTCTTGTAATACAAAGAAAAATAACCCAATTTTAAAACAGGCAAATGATTTGAATAGACATTTCTCCACAGGAGATATAAAAATTCCAACAAGCACATAAAAAAGGTGCTCAACATCATTAGTCATTAGGAACACACAAATTAAAACCATAATGAGATACTACTTCACACCCACAACGATGGCTATAATCAAAATGATGGACAATAACAAGCATTAGTGAGAATGTGGAGAAAACAGAGCCTTCCTGCATTGCTGATGGGAATGTAAACTGTGGCTGCTTTGAAAAAATAGTTTGGCAGTTTCTCTGAAAATTAAACATAGAGTACCATATGACCAGCAATTCAGCACCTAGGCATATACTCAAGAGAACTGAAAACACATGTTCACACAAAAACTTGTATACATTGATGTTCAAAGCAGCACTTTGGCCAGAAAATGTAAAYAATCCCAATGTCCATCAACTAATGAGTAGATAAACAAACACAGAATAGATGTATAACAGAATACTATTTGGCAATAAAAAGGAATGAAGTATTGACACCTGCTATAGCACAGATGAATCTTGACAACACTATACTAAGTGAGAGAAGACAGACACAAAGGCTATATATTTATTATATGATTTCATTTTTATGAAATTTTCAGAGTAGACAAGTCCATGGATATAGAAAACATGTTAAAGGTTACTCAACAAAGTAAAGATGTTAATTCTTTCCAAATTGATGAACAACTCCTATCAAAATCGCAGCAAATTTTAAATAAGGTTATCACAAAATTTGTCTGAAAAGAAACTGGAATAGCTAATTTTGTAAAGAAAAATAATCAGCATAACCAATTTTAATTAATCCAGTTTACCATGTAGCTACAGTAATCAAGACTGGGCGATAATGGTAGAGGGACAAATACACTGATCAAGGGAACAGAGCAGAGACCCAGCAACAGAACCACACATTTATGCCCAACTGACTTTTGACAAAAATGAACATGTAATTCAATGGAGGAAAAGTAACCGTTTAAACAAACAATGCTGAACCAACTGTATACCCATAAGCAAAAAAAGTTAATCTTGATTAAGTCACACACCTTCTATAAAAATCACCCTCAAATGTATCATGGACTTAAATGTAAAATTTAAAACTAGAGAGTTTTTAGAAAAAAATCATTGAGATAGGCAAAGAGTTCTTACAGTTGATAACAGAATCATGATCCATAAAAGGAAAAACTGAAAAATTGGTCCTCATCAAAATTTAAAACTTTTGCTAGATGCAGTGGTTCATGCCTGCAATTCCAGTTACTGAGGAGGCTGGGATAGGAGCAATGTGAGTTTGAGGCCAGCCTTGTCAACCTAAAGACCTTGTCTGAAAAAAATAAAAAGRGTTACTTATACTGCTCCTATCCCAGCCTCCTAAGTAACTTGAGATATAYAAGAAACTCTCAAAATTCAACAGCAAAAAGCCCAACAATTCAATTAGTACAGGCAAAAGACATGAACAGACATCTTACCAAAGATATACAAAAGGCAAATAAGCAAATGCAATGTTCATTATCAGCAATTAGGGAAAGTAAAATTGCAATACATTACTACACACCTATCAGAATGGCTATCAGAGATAATGAACCACTTAACCAATGTGGTGGGAACATCAAATAGTACARTGACTTTGGAAAACAGTACAGCAATTTCTTATACCACACAAATAAACTACCATGTGACTCAGCAATTGTACTCCTGGGCAATTATGAAGACTTATGATCACTCAAAATATCTACATAAGCCAGGCAAGGAGGTGCACACCTGTAATCCCAGTTACTAGGGAGGCTGAGGCAGGAGGATGATAAGTTTGAGGCCAGCCTCACCAACTTAGCAAGACTCTGTGTGGAAATAAAAAATAAAAAGAGCTGGGGATGTAGCTCAGTGGTGCAGCACCCCTGGATTCAATCCCCACGACTGCAGTAAATAAATAAATAAATCTGAATGAATGTTTATAGTACTTTCATCTGTAACAGCTCTAAAGTGGTAACAATGCAGATGGTCTTCAACAGGTAAATACCAGCCACTAATACAAAGGAATAAACTATCAACACATGTAATAACCTGGATGAATCTTAAGAATTATGCTGAGGAAAAAAATGACAATCCAAAGGTTACATACTATAGGATCCCATTTATATACTATTTGTGAAACAAAATGATTGAAACAGAGAAAGATTAGTGCCTGTCAGGGGTTAAATATTTGAGTGGGAGTAGAAAGGACAACATAAGGAATCTTGGGGTGATAGAAATGTTGTGTACCTTGACTGACATGTCAATGTCAATATCACAGTTGTGACAATATAGTTTTTTAAGATGTTTCCATATAGGAAACTGGGAAAAGGGTACATGAAATCTCTCTGTATCATTTCTTACAAAATGCATGTGATTCTACAATTATCTCAGAATAAAAAGCTAATTTTAAAAAGTAGTTTAAAACTCTCAAGATATACTAGATATAGATATTTAATATATATTATAAAAACCAACATAAGTATCTCAATATTACAAAAACTGAAATTAATTTCAGGCACTATTAGTGAATCAAATTTTAGTTATGAATTAAGAAACTGAAAAGAAAGAATGGGGTGGCATAAACCCCAGTTTGATTTTCAAGAGAAAAAGAAATTACAAAGGCATAGACGAATCTAAGTATCTTAGATAAATCTCAGTTTTTACAAATTTTAATTTCAAAGCTATAAAGATTTCAAGGACAGTAGTCTTTTAACATCACTTCTGGACTCTCCCATATCTGGTGCTTACCTCCATATCACTTATTTCAGAAGGGTGGGCCACTATTGCAATTAAGGGGGAGGTGGGTACAAGTGAAGGAGCTCAGAGTACAAATRATAGAAGAAACAAGGCTGGGGGAAACACAGGGTAGTGAGACACTACACTAGATTTGGCACCTACTCTCCAGTATTGACTTTCTCACTCTGCYGACAATCCTGGCTTTAGCTTCTATATTGAACTCTGAGTAAACCACAAAATCTCCAGGCCACAATTTCCATCTCCTCTAAAACAGTGATAATATTTTCACCTGCCCATCAAACAGGATATTTGCAAGGATAAATATCTGTATGACAAGGAGATGTTTGAAAGAAAGGTAAAAAGAAAYAGTATCTGCATTTGAAACATTTAATTGAAGTCCAGGTTATTTGAGGAAACATGCGCAATAGAAGATATTGATTTTTAAGGAGACTGCAGAAAGAGAAAGACAAAATAAATGAGATCATTTAAACAAGGACAACACCCCCCTTTGCTTTCCTCAGTTGTCTTGAGGTACTGGTGGAAAATTCAGTACTGCTAAAGGTAGAGAGTCCCCCAATCCCCTAGCAAAGCCATCTTAATCAGGTAGATTTTCCACAACAGGATTTAAAGGGTAGAAAAAGAAAAAAACAAACAACCCAAACCTCACAAGACTGCAAATCCACCAGGATCTGGACAGCAGTCCTCATCACGACACTGAAGGATGTGAACAGCAAGGAAATAAGTAGGAAGGTACTTGTAAACCATATTTCACCTGAACTGCAGCACTAATTAAATTTTGTCTGATATTTTAGTTACTCATTCAAGTCTGTCTGCCATCACTTGAATCTAAGCTCTTTCATTGCAAAAACCACAATCCACACTCATCTTTCTATCACCCAAAGTCCACAGTTTCACTTGTACCTTCTGTGTGAACACCGAACAGAACAARCATGCACGTGGATATTACCACCAGCTTGAAGCAATATATTTAAGGTACTTCAAAACAGAAGATGACCTCCTGATATTTACTTAGCATCAGCACCATAACTTACTGAACAATGGTTTCCATTTCTGGGATTTCATTTTCTCAATTTCTATTATTACTAATGTGGTAATGAAAAATGAGCTAAATTATGTAACTGCAAATTTTTACTGATAATTTGAAAAACAGTTTTCAAAGATAAGTCCTGAGCCCAAAAAGACATCAGGCAAGATAGTGAGAAACTTTTAGCTGTGATTTATACCAGTTTTGATGGGCTGCTTTCTGTCAAAAATTAGCTATTGTATTAAAAAAAAAATTCTAACTTTCTAAATCTTTACTCACCAGTGTCCAGTCTTGACTTGACATGCTGATATTTTGGGTTCTGTGGTATCCTTTTAGTCAAATACTACAAAATAAGAAAATCCACAATTAATTGGGTTAATGTAAAGATAAAGGTGGCAAACTCAGGAAAGAATCAGATACTTAAAAATGGAGAAAAATAATAAAATTTCATCGACTTTAAGGATGAAAGCTACTTTAGAGATCTAACCATCCCTACCATATAGAACTCTTTGCTATGGCATTTCTTCAGGTGGAGACAGTTACCTTGTTTCTGTCAAAACACATTTTGTCAAAATAATCTCAGAGCACTATGTGATAAGAATAAAAAAAAAAGCTCTTAGAAATTATCTGGGGGACTAGGATTGTGGCTCAGCAGTAGAGYGCTCGCCTAGCATATGCGAGGCCCTGGGTTCAATCCTCAGCACCACATAAAAATAAATAAATAAAGGTATTGTGTCCAACTACAACTAAAAAATAAATAAATTTAAAAAAAAAAGAAAAATAAATTACCTTGGAATTAAAGTCATCACATTATAGTGATGTTTATAGCTACACAATTCCCAATAGCCAAACTATGGAACCAGCCTAGGTGTTCCTCAATGGGTGAATGAATGAAGAAAATGTGGTATATATACACAGAGGAGTTTTATTAAGCCAGAAAGAAGAATGAAATTATGTCATTTGCAGGAAAATGATGGAACTTGAGAACATTATGTTAAGTGAAATTAGCCAAACTTAGAAGGTCAAGAATTGGATGTTTTCTCTCATATGTGGAAGCTAGAGAGGAAAAAGAAAAAGGTGGGAGGGATTTCATGAAAATCAAAGGGTGATCAGTAGAGAAGAGGGACCAGAGGGAGGAAAGAGGGGAATAAAAGGGGAAATACCGGGGAATGATATTGGTCAAATTATATTGTGTGCCCATATGAGTAAACAACAACAAATCCCACCATTATGTACAACTATAACTTACCAATAAAAATATATGGAAAAAGAAAGAAAAAAATAAAAATAATCTTGGGCTGGGGATGTAGCTCAGTGGCACAGTGCTTGCCCAGCATGTGGGAAACCCTTGGTTTCATCCCTGGTACTACAAGAAAAGAAAAAAAAAAAACTTACATTGAGCCAAAATTGATCTCCCTTCAATTTCTTTTTAATCCACTGTTGTAACAGAGTGAATCATCTGCCCCTGCCTCAAGAAACCTGTTAAGATAATGAAAGACAGCTATCCTGCCCCTCTTTTTTAATGTTACTCTTTTTATGAAGGCTTTGGGACACCCTCTAGATTTTATCCACAGATCATCTAAAATATAGCAGGTGGGATCCAGACCTGACCAGATGCTGTCTGGCCAGGGCCTGTGCTGGCAAACTCTGACACTGCTCCTCCAAATCTGGGGCTCCACATGTGTCACTGCCAACAGACTGGCTCTTGTGGCAGCTGAGGCTCATCTCAGGTTCAGGATAAGTTTATGGTTAGCAAAAATGCCTGCCAGGTCTCCCTTKTGCTGTGTTTTGATAGTTAACACTTTGAATCCAAGCACAAGACATTAACCCATATTAAATTCCTGTGGTGAGTGCAAAAGCCATTAAGGAAGGGAAGGATAAAAAAAAAAGGACACTACAAAATATGGCTTTTTTATAGGTCTTTTTCTAGCCTCTAAGTATGAAATCCATATGTTCAGTATAGGTAGCTGTGGAATATGAAATATGAAATTAAAACTGGGTAATATCTTTCCAACTTCATCTTCTGCACATGTGCTTATGGACAGGAATGTCCCCGTAATATCTCCAGTCTTGGAGATGTCTGCCTAGAATGCCTTTCCTCAACTTGTCCTTGGACAAAATTTATTTCCTCTGTAAAGCTGTCCAAAGTGGAATTAGGTACTTTCTTCTCCTATCCCCCAGAGTATCAATACCTGCCTACTGGCTACAACTAGAACTTCTTCCCTACTCTAGGATTTCCTTGAAGGTTTATATTTGCCCAGGACCCAGTACATACTAAGTGTACTTACTGATATTCAGTCAATAAATGAGTATCTGAATAAAGACTGAATTACAGCCAACTATCTGGTTCCTTAGGAGAGAACATTAAAACTTAAAAAAAAAATTACACCACTTGCTTTTGAAAACAATCTATAGTATATCCTATTGGGAGGATTGCAAAATAAATTCCATACTGAGATACCTTTTCAAATGACCTACAAGCATAAAAAAAAAAAGGTAGGATACTTCTATGTCTGAACAAAATATCTGTTGATCAAAGCTGTGGATTTCAGAGACCAAGAATAATTTTTAAAAACTTGTGGGGGGCAACTACAGAGAGTTATCAACTTTTAATTTTGCCAAGTAAGAACACAAAAAACAAAACCAAAGCAAAACCTTACAACTACCATCTGTTATTTTATTTTATTTTTTAAGAATTGTTYATTTTTAAATTTTTAATTTAATTTTTAGCTGATACATAAAAACATAAGCCATCTGCTATTTTTTTTTTCCCTAGTGCTGGGGATCGAACCCAGGGCCTTGCACATGCTAGGCAAGGACTGTACCACAGAGCTACATCCAGACCTGCCATCTGCTATTTTAATGCCTAAAAGGTAGAAAAAAAAATCCTAGAGTAAAAAGTTAAGTTCTGGGCTGGGGCTGTAGCTCAGTGGTAGAGCACTTGCCTAGCATGTGTGAGGCACTGGGTTCGATCCTTAGCACCACATAAAAATAAATAAAATAAAGGTATTCTGTCCATCTATAACTACAAGAAAAAAATTTTTTAAAGTTCAGTTCTTAAGTAATATTAAAAAAACTCATATGACATGGTCTTCATTTTTTKTTTCACACCTGGCAAGTAAAATCTTTATTATGAACAGTTAGCACTGGTCCTCAGATTCTTTTTGCAAGCATTGATCTGTTTCATCCTTAGAAAAAGGTTACTGATCACTTCTCATTATGATCTGCTGTCTATAGGATAAAGTGACTATAACGTCAATTCCAATTCCTTTCCATTTTCCCTAGATGAAATGGAGATGATTCTTAAGTAATAGAAGGAAAATAAACATAAGACTGAAAAGGGAGATTTAGGACAAGTTCCCCAAAGAGAGACAATTTCATGGCAAAATGAAACAAATAGTACAAAGTCAAAGAAAGCAAATTCTAGATTTCAGTTATCTGAAGTTAAGAGACTTTTTTTTTTTTGGCACGATATATTTTTATCATTTCTATACTTTATTTCCTGTTTTTACTTTTGTTTTGTTTTTCCCACCAGTTTCCTAGCAAAGCTTCTYTAGAAAAATTCCAGGCCAGTCTCTGCTGAACCAAGGGGATTTGTCCATACCTAAGCCAAAATAGCTAAGAAGTGAGGGTATCTCTGGGGACCAGGTGTGGTGGCGGCAGAATGATGAGGGGAGAGTGTGGACAGCTGCAGCCACTGAGCCCTTCCCGCCCCCGGTTTTCCCTTACATGGACTAATGAGAAATCCATATGCTGCAGGAGAAAAATGTAGCGTTTCTTTTCCATGTTCCCATTTCAGTCCAACTTTTTTTATTGCTGATTTTCTAGTACCAACCACAAAGTAAAGCTATTTGTGCTCCACTGCCAGCACAGTGCGTGTTTACAGTACAGCCATACTTTCTTCTTTAAAATTCTTGCTTTTGGGGTGACTGCTTCTTGACCTACTGACCAACTGGCTTTATTTCGATGACATAAACAGGCTGGAATGGTGGAAAGTGAAAGAGCTGTGAAAAGCAGCTGTTTCAAGGAAGACTATTCATTCCTTCAACAAAGACTTATTGAGCACCAGCCATTCACTTACTGAATGCCCACCAGGAGCAGACCCCTATGCTGAGGACACATTCAGCTGTCACTGACTTCTGGATACACTCATGACAGACAGTGGGGTGAACAAGGAGAGGGAAGCAGGGGTGTGATGGGAGCACAAAAATGGTACCTAATCCAGATTAAGTGTCAAGAACCATTTTCTGAAAGGGTGCCTTCTGTGCTAAACTCTGAGGACCCAAGGTTTTTCAAGKACACAGAGCAGTGGGTGGGAGACAGGGCCTGGCAGAGAGAAAAGCCTGGGCAAGTAAAGAGATAGAGAAGGTATGGACAGCTTTAAGAAAACTAATGGCAACTGGTAGACCTGGAACACTGGGGGTAGTGTGARGATGAATGACGCTCGAGAGGCAGGCAGGAGCAGATCACAAAGGGCCTTGTATACAGGCTAACAAATTTGGATTTTTATCCTGTGGATCTATGGGTCTTAAACAGGTGCACTTTTGCCCAGGAACATTTGTTAATGTCTAGAGACACTTTGGGTTGTCACAACTGGGTATTGGGGGTTGCTGTTATTATCTTATGGGTAAAGGTCAAGGATACTGCTGAATATTCAATAATGGACAGAACAGCCCTCATAACAAAGAAATAGCCTAAATGTCAACAATGCCAAAGTTAAGAAACCCAAGAGAAGATGATGGGGAATCACTGAAAGTTTAGGGAGCAGTGATGAGATTATATTTCCTTTTTTTTTTTTAACAAGCTCTCTGTTAAAAAACTCTGGCAGCAATTTGGAAAATTTGCTTGTAGTCAAGAAGGGAGACAGTCAAGAAAATTAGGTGGGAGGGTATTGTGCTAAGAGGAACTCTGGTCCTGAGAAAGTGGCAGTAGAGATGAACAGAAACCATTTCAAGAAACATTTAAAATGTTGAATCAAAACAATGGTCAATGGCCTGTTGTAACAAAAGGACAGTGGTACCATGCCCCCAAAAAGGGAGTTGAAGAGGAAGCATATATGGAAAAACATGGTATGTGCATAGTGTTGTTCGTCACCCCCCAGTTATTTTGCCCAGCCAGCCGGGCTGCGGCAGTTTAGGGCATGAACAGTACAAGATATCTGTAGGTTATCTAAAATGGAAGTGTCTAGTTGGCTATATGGATCTGGAAATCAGGAGACAGATGTAGTCTATGAAAAAAAAGATATGGGAGTTATCAGCTATAGGCAACTGAAGAAATCATGATAATGGCCAAAACCCACTCTAGAAAAAGTATAAACTGAGAAGAAAAACCCCAACATTGAAG